ATTAATTGTTCCGAAACAATTTGTGAAAATTAAACAGAGTTTGTAAAGTAATTGTACTGGAAGCTTAATTATTAAGCAATTTTAATCGTTGTTTAAAGGAATTAATTTCAAAAAATAAATCGACAATTTAATTGCTAATTTAAAGAATAAACATATTTTTGCTATTGCTTTACTTTTAATTGTTATTAAACATTTAATTTCACTTAAGATAAATAATTAATTACAAAGAATAAGCAGAATTTTAATTTATATTTTCTACCAGTTTGTTTATTTATTTGATATATTTTAATAGATAAAAATTGGCTGTTATAAACACAAATTTTTGAATTTATCATCATAAAAACAAATTATCTAAATAAAGTAAACATTTAAAATTTAATTTTAGAAAGCCCAAAACAATGAAAATTGCTCCTTAAATAGTTAAATAAGGTAAATTTTCATTGTTACATAACGTATAAATATAGTATTTTAATTGAAATATATTTAAAGATTTAATTGTTACATAACAAAAAATTTTAAAAATATCCTCCAATGAAATCGAAGCTAAATAATTCAATTATTGCGTAAATTTTACGTAACAATACATGTTTTTAAATATATTTTAATAAAATAGTTGTAATTATTGTAAAATACAGTACTACAGTGTTCAAAATGGAGCCTTAATAAATGGAAACCTGCTTAAACGGGACAAGTTCTTCAGAACGCAGAAATCTTCGTGTTAAAAAAATCTGTACAAAACGGATACTTGCCAAACCGGAAAAAGTATTCGGTACCGTGCCAGTCGGTATTCCAAAATAATTTTTTAAGTATTAATTAACGATGTGAGTAGTTTAAAATTGAAATCTTGGCCTATATTAATCTACAGACAATTAAAACAAATTTAATTTAATTATTTATAAATTTTAAAAATCTTCTTCATAAATTAGCCTGCATTCCATACGTTAAATACTCAAAACTAATTATATACCATTTAAATACGAAAAATTATAAGTAAAATCAATTGAGATGCCGGAAAATAACAATAAATATACATTTATTTTTACAAATTGAACTAAATGTGAAGAAATGAGAAAATATAACTTAATCAGTTATTAGTTATAAATTTATATCAACTCTCTAACAAAATTGCTTGTAACTTTTGCCTGTAACAATTACAAATGAAGTGATTTCAACTTAGAAAATTGGTTGCAAGTTGTTTATATCCAAAGCGATTACAGTCGAAATTGTTTCTGTTATGATTTCGACTCAACTAAACTACAAAATTATTTGAAGATTTTTATATCTTTAAGTGTTTAAATCAATCAAAATTACTGTTAACAGTTCACATACAACGTTTATTAAAAATTTAAAAATTATTTTACAGTATTTATAACAATTAAAAACGGTTAAAACGACTTTAATTATAAACTGTTTAAATTTAAATATATTTTAAAACATGTATTGTTTCGTAAAACTTACGAAATAATTAAATTATTTCGCTTCAATTTCATTGGAGAATATATTTTTAATATTAATTGTTACGTAACAATTACATTTTAAAATAATTTTCAATTATAATATTCTACTTATGCATTACGTAACAATGAATTATTTAGAAATAGGCTGTATTGATTAAAAGCAGACACTAAATAATTGTTACGTAACAGTTGAAATTTTTAAGTTTATAATAAAAATTAATTATTACGTAAGAATAAATTTAAAAAAATTTCTTTCAGTTACAAAAAGTTTTAGAGAAAATTGGAACGATTGAATTTTAATACAACTCTCGATTACTAATTTATGGTAAAGTATTATAGCGTAACAAGGACTTTTTATATGAGCCAATAAAAGGATTTTAACATAAGAACAAATCTAACTCCGTCCACTTTATATATGGATATAGAAACAAAATACAGATATATTCATTGTTACGTCATTACCGTTAAATATAGACAGGTGACGTAATAATAACATAACACGAGATACATAATAATTTTAAACATGAATTTGTATGTCATGTTTCGTTGTTATTGCGTCACACGTTTATACTTAATGGTAATGACGTAACAATGAATATATCTGTATTTCGTTTCTCTTTGCACATAAATTATTACAAATGAATATTAAATTGTTACGTAATAATTATTTTTGTGTAAAGTGAAATTAAACATATATGTAAATTGTTATGCCATTACCGTTAAATAAAAATATGTGACGTAATAACAACGAAACACGAGATACAAATACTTGTTACGAGATACGTAATAATTTTTTGTGTTTCGTTGTTATTACGTAATTATCGTTAAATATAACTATGTGACGTAATAGTAACGAAGAACGAGATCCAAATTTGTGTAAAAATAAATATTACGTAATAACTAACTTCACTAAAATTACTAAAGTTAAAAATTTAATGCGTAACAGTCAATTAATTAAGATTAATTTTTTATTATAAAACAATATGTAAAGTATCGACGTAAACGAAGTTACCTACACGTACTGTACATAACGTTACGTTTCATCATAACAGAAGATATCAAATTACTTGCTATACGTTCCAAACTGTAACTGCAGCTGTTACGAACAAGTACGAAATTATTTCTATTTTCAGTTCGTATGGAACAAAACTTGGAAAATTGCTTTCAACTTTGTTTACTTGTTAATAATCAACAATTACAACAAACAGTTAAACTTGTTGCTGCGATAATAATTTTATCTCCTTAACGTTGTAATTAAATATCATTAATTATCGAATGCGTTACGGTTTGATCATCTAATAAACACGAAATAATACAGATAATTGTAAAATTTATTGAAATTTCTAGGGATATTTCAGTATAAACCGCCCCCTAATTTCTCCAAACGTTTTTCTTATCATAGAAATATTTAAGATAAGCAAAGGGGAGACTTTCGGAATGTTCGTGTATCACTTACCATCTACTCCATGTTGCCGTGTACACTGTAAGAGTGCATCTTTCACTAAATCGATAGATCAACCCCGATAATACCTTAATTTTCGTTTCCTACACAATCTAAAAGTTATTATCAGGCCAAACATTAACAAGTTGTAATTATTTCCAATCACGAATCGCATAATTCTATTAAATCTTCGACTTTGAATAGTAATAATAATAATTTACAATCTTTGGAATAAAATTATTTATCGTTAATAATGTAGTAATTTAGATCTGTAGACGGATAACTTATCTTGTTTTCAGAATGTCTTCATTTTCAAATCAATAAAGTTTTGATAAATTTAAGATATTCCTAAACCTCCGCCAATTTTAAGTTTATAAACATTTATGAAATAGTAAACAAGCCAATTAAAAGCTTTATCCTTATATTTAAATCCTAAAGCAATTGTTACGTCAAATTATTTTAAGTTTGTTTGACGTAACAATTGTAAAAGAGATAAAATGTTCAATTTTAAATAAAAAACATGTACTGTATTTTATTACACAGAAACTGAAAAATATATTCTAATTGTTACGTCACTATATATATAAATGTGTGATGTAACAATAATGAAATACGTCAATAATTGGAAATTAATATTTATACTATTGAAAGTAACGAATTTCTGTGTTAACTGCATCATTTAAACTGAAACATACGCATAAACTGAAAGAGATATTTTAATTGTTACGTCACTATTGTTAAGTATTTACAAATTTGTGACGTAATAATTATGAAATACGTCAACAATTAGAAATTGATGTATATGTTGCTATGACGTGTTATTGAAAGTGATGAATTTTTGAAATTGTAACACTGATTTTATTCTAAAAACTTCTCTTACTTTTTAATTGAGTATTTAAAAAACGTACAAATCGTAAGATAATAGCGCACCTTCATTCCATTTTTGTATATAGAAGGATAACAATTCGATCATTAAACTTTAACGTTTCCATCAAAAAATTGTTGAAAATAAACTTTCCAAAAAGTATGTCCAATCAAACATTTTCGGTAAACAACTATCTTTCGCAACACTTCAAAGAAAAATCATTAACTCCATCCAATAACAATACAACGATAGCAGAAAATTTGAAGAAACTCATTAATTTCCGAAGCTAAAAGTAAAATAAACGAACTCCAACCCAAAAGTTGTTACGTAATAATTAAAAAGAACTTCTTCAAAAAAGTCGTCACTTTCAAAAAAAAGAACACACCGCTCCATTGTTACGTAGTAATTGAAAAATTTAGAAAAAAAGTCATCGCTTTCATTAATACGTCATCATTATTATTACGTAGTAATTAAAAACGAGACAAAAAATCGTCGCTTTCAATAATACGTCACAATAATAAAAATATCAATTTCTAACTGTGACGTTTCCGTAATTATTATGTCACAATTGATAAATATTTTAACAATAAATGAAGAAACAATATTTAATTTACGCGTAATAAAGCGGATCAAATTCTCAATTATGACGTATTTTATAGCTGTTGCGTCACTCAAATTTAAAATATTTTGATGGAAAAATTAAAGATTTGTAATTTTTTTAAATAAAAATAACAAACGTGTAATTTTATTATTTAATATATAAAATATAAAAAGAAATTTTGACATTGTAATTATCATCATTATTAAAGTTAGTGATATGTAAATTTTCAGAAAGTGATACGATGACAAAATAATAGAGTATTATTACGTCGTTTATGACGTAGTAATAAAAATATAAATAATGATCGATAATATTTATTGTGACGCAATAATGAAAATGTCACCGAGAAAGAGAAACGTGTTTGTGAATTCTAATGACGTGTGCGTGAGGATAAATTAAACAAATTTAAATATGCTCCAGTCTTTTGACGTGATAATTTATAAATTTTTCTAATAAATTCGTACAAAATAATTTAAATATTTTAATTAATATTTAAGATTTTATAACACAATTTTCAGCCAGTCTCCAGTCGAAAATATTGCTAATTAAGCTGTAAATTAAGCATATGTTTTAAATTTTTACACGGAAAATTGTATTTTTTTGAATTTTTTATAAATATTCAACAAGAAAACTCACCTCTAAACATGGAGTAGAGCTGTGCATCTACAGTAAGTCTAGCGCAGGCTGTTTCTAACGTCTGTTCTTCATCACAATACGCTAAAACATATATATATATATACATATAAAAATATAATTTTTGAAGCTGTAAACTGTAATTTTTGATTGTAAATTGTAAAATATATTTGACGATGATTGATTCGATAAAAATAGAAAATTGCATTTCATAAACTTACTGATTTTTTCGTTAAATTTTCCCTTTTTATAAAGCGTTAAAGGAGAAATTTTTGACAGGAATTATTATTGATGTTTAGAAAGGATTTTGTAAACTAAAATGGATTTTATGTTGAGGGAAATTTTTGTATCAGTAAATATATATATATATATATATTTATCTTCCCCTTTTAAGGAATTTTATTTTTCCTTATAAAATTCCCCTTTTGTCTAGGGTCAAGGTATTAACCAGAGATGTAATGCTTTTCATGTATTATTTATTTATAGTTACGGTTTGGAAATTCACTTTTCACAGTCAGAACCAATAAAATTTTCAACTTTTAACAGAGAAATTATTTATTTTACATTATTTTCTTAGATTTTATTAATTTTTTTAAATTAACGTAAATACGTCGATTCGTGTTGTGACGTAATTTAAAATTTCTGTGTAATTTTTGTTTACAATTTTTGTTACGTTATACGAGACAGAAATTTTAAAATCGCGCTTTACCCGTCGTTATTAACGTGTCGTCACGGATACGTAGTAATTTGACAGTGTTTTAATCTTTCTCCGTCATTGTTAAGCGCATTATTACGTCAATTACTTGTTACACAATAATTAAAATTTTCTATATTTGTTACGTCATATTTAAAATCCGCTACATGTTATTTATTACGTCATGATCAAATTCTGTTTACAAAGCGTCAGTTACATTGTCAATAAACAGGAAAAAATGCATTATTACGTCATAGAAACGTCACAGAGCTAAAGATACACAAATATATGTTATTAAAAGACGAAAAAATTCGAAATTTTTTTGTTATAATAAATTTTTTCTATTGAAAATACTTAAAATTTATAAATTTTTCCTGTGAAATCTCACTTCGTATGACATTACGAACTAGAATTAATTATTAAGGGATGCTCGGGACACTAAAAATAGATCAGTTTTTGTCATTTTTGGATCTAAATTTATCCTTCGTATCAGAAAATTATTGTCAGATGATCATTTCTGCTAAGTTTACGTCATACATCAAAAACTTTTCGTAAGATCTTTCAATCCAATATCATTAAATCACCTTCCAGAATATTTCAGAAGTCAGATAAAAGTCATTATTACGTCACGATTTCATCTAAATTATGTTGTAAATTTTATTTTAAATAATGGGCTAACGACTATTTTAATTTATGAAAAAAATCTGGGTCTTTAATATCGTGTCAAATCAGCGTTAAAAAATTAACTAAATCTGTTAGAATAAAAAAATTCTGGATGTATTTTTGGACTATTTATATTAATTTAGTAATGTCTTTTATTTTTATAAGTAGAGTTTTTAAATTCGAATTTTACTCTATAGCAGAGGAAAAGTATGGTTATCGATCAAGAAATGACTTCCAAAATTTTCATATTTTTCGACTCGGGGAATGTAATGCAACTTGAAATGTAATGCAAACGCAAAAAAATTTGGGGAATTTTTCTGTGTGTGTCGGGGCGGCGCGATTTTGTTCATCCATTTTGAATTTTAATATTCCTCTGTCTTTTGTCGAATATTTCTGAAATTTTGCAGGAAGATTTGTGTATTTGGAGGAAGATGAGGTTTAATTTTGGGGGTTAAAATTCCAGGGGTTGGGGAGATAGAGGGGAATCATGCGTCGTATCTCGAGCGGACATAATGAAGATGTTTGTAAAACTCGTCTCTACTTTCAAAATTAAAGTTTATCATTTTATAATAATTAATAATATAAAGGTTTTTAAAATAAAATCTTATAACAGATGGCGCCACACAGAATTTAATTTGTTTTGCCGGGAAAGTTATGCAACTCGTTTCTGGTTTTTTAATAAGTGAAGGAAGTGAAAAAATACCAGTGTTGTCACTCCTAATATTGACATTTTTCTCATTTCTTTCAAGTTATTTGCGTGTTTCTAGCGCATTTTATGCTAAATTTTCAGCAAAAATGTTAATTAAGTAAGAAAGTTAATTGTTAAAAGTGTAATTCTGTAACAATTTTAACGCTGAAAATTTATATTCTTGAAGAATTTTGTTCCACTCGTCACAAATCGTTTCATCTTTTTAACGTATCCTTGCACGCTTTGTTGAATCGTTTTTGCGGTTTCTAAACCTATACGTAACAACTCGTTCGCAGATTTACAAGGGCTATTTATAACAGAAATCATCGAAAGTCATGAAAACTTCAATTTCGTATTCAACAGTTGCATGTAAAATAGAAGATCGCTGTTAGAGTCACGAATGCATCCTCAAGTATATCTCGTATCAGGATGCAGGATGGTATCTCGTGTATCATGATCATTCCATTAGTTCCATTCAAGCAGGAACCAAAACATTATATTATAGATTGGTCCACGATGTAAAGGATATTCACGAAAACTTCTTTGAAGAGATTGTGGTGGATGGTTTAGGGTTTAACTGTGACGATGTAAATCCTTATAAAATAAGAAATATTGTATGGATTTTGGTTTTGGATGTTGAATTTGATCGCTGCAAATGATAGATGTCCTCTCGGTTTTTTGAAAATTGTTTTATTTTAGATCTATATTCAGTTGTGAAATCGGTTCATGCATATTCGGATGTTGTGTTTTCAAGTAGGATTCACATTTAGAAACAGATCTAAATAAAATTATGTATACATTTCACACATTTATATGTTAAATTGAATCAAATTTATAGATAATTTCGTTCCTTCGACAGGAAAGTTATGCACTGAATATGATCAAAATTGTACTCTGGATATGCTTTTACATGCTTAAAATTATCCTTTGAATATGCTCTATAATGCTTAAAATTATGCTCTGAACATGCCTAAAATTTTGCTCTGGATATGCTTTTACATGCTTAAAATTATCCTTTGAATATGCTCTATAATGCTTAAAATTATGCTCTGAACATGCCTAAAATTTTGGTCTGAATATGAAAAAATTTCTCGAGTTTTAGCCATTCAAATATAGAAGTTATAATAATTTTAAATTTATAGTAATTTAAGAATTAAAACCCACCTTCTCTGCATTTACAGAAACAAAGATATTGACTATATAAAATCAATAGGAAATCGTAACACCGTTATAAATGTACAATATTTTTGTGGATCGGTTTGAAGTAAGTTTGAAGAAACTCTCTGGAAAGTAAACAAACAATAAAAATAAAATTGAAAGTTAGCCAGTTACTTTACGACACACTTCACCTTCATCTCTTTGAATCATGTAATGAGTTTCTATACTTCGAATAGTATCAGCGCCTGGAGGAACAAACTAGCGAAGATTAGTTGTTATCGATAATATGAAAAAATCATATTACATTTACAGAGCGAACCGCAAAGAAGCGTAATACCTTCAATTTTTTTTTCATTTACTGTTTTTTTCTGAAGAAAATAACATGTTATTTATATAACTCGTCCTCTGCGATATACGTATCAGTTTCAGGATTGTAGCTTAATTAACAACGATTGGTTGAATTAAAAAAGAGGCGTTGTTGCTTTTATTTTCTTAACCAATCAGGTTAATGTAATTTTATATTTACTCAATCTTCTTAATAAATTTTTTATCACACTTTATATACTAATATACATAAGAGTACTACATATATTTGTTTTGTTTGAATTTTTACTAAATTAGCTCTTAAATGATTATATTTAGATGTAGTTTACAGTTTTCAAAATGATGTAAGTATAAATAAAGTTTATTTGACACGGCAATTTTTTTTTATTTCAAATTTATATTTTCTGCATTTTATCTAACGATATTTGTATTTTAAATTTAAATTATAAAATTCGAATTTTGGATATAAATTTTTAAAGAATTATAAAGTAGACCACCGTTCATAATTTTATATTTTACGTGTACTTCTGTATAAAATTTTTATATAATATAACACAGGGGTAGTGTGTATGACTGGTTACTGAGGAATAAAAATCCTGAAATGCATGCCAACTTTAAGTTATACACTAACAAGTAAGATTGAATTGTTTGTTTTTATACGGAAACGGAACACGTGGGTAATCAGCCTGGAGAACTGATCCCTATTTAAATGTTATAAACGTTAAGAAACCCCACGTGTCCACGCCCTTTGACGAGGTGCGAACCCACGACCAACTGCCATCGTTCGCTGGTTTCATACTGTGTAGTAAGATTCAATAAAGTGTCCGTAGTCTGTCGTCTGTTTTATATTTGATGAAGTATATTTAAAATAAATTAATAATTTTAAAAAGCTTCATAAATTAAAGGGGAAAAAACGTAAACATTTATTACTTTTTTCCTTCAACTTCTATTAAATTTTAACGACATTTTTTACTATAATCACACAATTTCTACTATAAAATAATTTAGTTTAACTAAAAAAAAATAATTGAAAATTTTATTATTATTTTTTCTTTCTTTTTAATCATTAAACCTCAAAATTTTCAGTTTATTTCTAATTTGGTTAAAACCCTTCTTTCCTAAAATAAAATGAAAAAAAGTCATTATTACATAAATACTCAATCTCATTAACTAACATATTATTCTCATTTCATAATAGGAACCTTATAAAAACTAATAATAAAATAAAATAAAAATATATGATTCTAACAATAATAAAATTATTGAATATTTTTATTTCAATTATTCGCATGGTTTATTATCAATTATATTAGTATTACCAATTATAAAAACATCAGATTTACTTTATTATTTATTCGACACAATTGCTGTGCTTTTGACTGGGGGGAGGGGAAATAAATTTATAACAATTGAAGCGATTTAAAAAATTAAAAAGGAACCCCCTCCACACACACACACATCTAAATCATTTGAAAGTCTTATTGTCTCTTATTTTTTTCCTTCCCCTCTCTTATTCTTAATTCCAGAAGGAAACACAAAATAATTGGTTTTCAGAAAAGAATTGAATAGAATTACTTTTTTGGGCATTTAAATAAGAGCTAGGAGGGAAACTTATCAAAACATTTGTTCTTTTGTCCATACAAGAACATTAGGAAGAATCTGTATTTATACTGATATTATTCACCGAAAGAAATTAAAGAAAACGCTATTATTTTATAGATGATGATTAAAAAAATTATCTTAGGGAGAAAAAAATGAAGTCTTAATAACGTTATTTTTTTTTAAATCCCTCGTGCAGTATCTTAAACAATTAAGATGCTGAATAAGAAAATAGTGTTGGTGAGATAACGTAATTATTTTGTACACTTTTTTGTGTGTATTGTGTTTCTTCTGGTGTTTTTTTTCTTGTTGAAATGGATTCAATTACACAAAGCTGCAAACGTATTCAATTTTTGTAAACCGTACTGAAGCCGTAATCAACGCTCAATAATCAATTTTTTGGGGCTGTAAAAGTAGACATTATAAAACTTTGTTTAATTTAATGTTTATAAGATAATATTAAAATTTTTGATCTCAAAATTAAGAAATATAGGCTAAATGTAATTTGCGTACTGTATTAATTTAAAAAAAAACAATAAAAGAGCAACACTCAACATTCAATTTTTTAAGCGATTTGTTAATTTAAACTGAAATTTGACCAATAATCGAAGAGTTAATCCAACGTGGAATTCAACGTTTATTGGTCTTTTTGAATTCTCAATTACAGTTAATTGGTTTATGCAATTTTGAAACGAAGAATAGGCGTTGCTTATGAGCTATATGCAATTTAACTTAGTTTTGTTTTTTTTTAATGTCATTAAAGATCGCCCAATCGCTGAACGAATCTTCATAACTCGTTTTGTGTGTGAAAGTTTTAAGATTTTCTCGTAGGAAATTTAAAATTTTAATACGATTTTCTAATCTAAAGTTGATGTTTAGGTGATAGAATCGTCTGTACTTAAACATTTGCAATAAATCATTCTGAAAAGCATTTTGACCACGCCTGCTTGGTACACCTGGTTGCACACCCAGGTGTGGCACACCTTTTGAAACAAGATAGTAGCTAATAACTTATTTTGGGTGAGTATAAACGATTATTATCCCAATTTCGCACTTTCTTATCTCTTAATTTTTCATTTGACATCAATTTTTCAGTTCAAAATTTACTTTACGAGTTAAACAATAAAAGTTATTCCATACTTACTTTCTCTATACTGTAAAACGTTGGGATGCTTCTCGTATATAACCACACACCTGTAACAATTCTCACGGCTGTAAAAAAAAGAAAAAAATATGTCAGCATTCTTCTAAACATTTTTATAACTTTATATTCTTAAATTTAACAAAATTGTTTCTTNAAAATAAGATTTCAATATTCCTGTGTTATATTTTCATAATTTAATTAAGTCAAATTAATTAGTAATTTGCATATTTAAGTTAAATCTTTATTTTTAAAAATGCATAGTTTAGAATGAAATTAAATAATTATATTTAAGCTTATATTAAATTATTATACATACTTTGACAATAAAGTATTGTTTTATGATAGTTGAAAATCTTTTTACAGCAATTTTATTCAATTTTTTAAGTTTTATTGGACAATTCTTGAAGAGAAATTGAAAGAGTTTTCTTAAGATTTGCTGAATTTATTGATTGGTTTTTTCAGCAGATAACTGAAAGACAATTTGGCACTGGCGTCATATTTAGAGGACCTCAAAAGCACTTAATATAAATTATTTATTCTATTGTATTAAAAAATGACTCCCTTAACATTTACACATTTATGGACTCGAAAGGATTTTGAAATGTTGAGAAATGCAAAAAAAGTTTGGGGGCTTACTGTATATATTCAGTTAGTGTGTATGAAGGACACGAATTTTTTCCCCTATTTTGAAGTTTAATAAATCATGTGCCAAAGTTGTCGAAAATTTTTGAAATTTTACAAGGTTGTTTAGGTTTTAGATGAGAATATTTCAAGAAATTTTTAAAAATTTCAGACAATTGGTTCGGAAGATATGGTCCCACCCTTTTAACATCTTCCGAACCAACCTGAAGACTTTTAAAGGTAATGATATTAATTATTAAATATGAAAACAAATATAGAAGGCCACGAAAATCCAGCAACATAGTTGCCAGCTTTTTTGTAACAATGTTTATTATGAATGATCCTTTATTTTTAAATAATATAATTAAATACAAGGCTACATACTGAGGGCCTCGGGAAAACAAATGGCTGGGATCTTTGTTGATATCTATAACGTCTTGGTAGAAGCAATAATATTGTGAACATATAAAATATTATAAAAATAAGGGTGCGACTATGCAGACGCGAAATTAGAGCGAGCGAGAGGTTGCGAGCGATTTAGATTTCGCAAAGGAAAACCATGCACAAACGAGAAGCGAGAAATAACGCTGGCGAGAGCGAATTTCTGGTTCTCGCACATATCTGACAGGTTTTGATATTTATCGCGTATCGCCTCTTCTTGCCACATATTCTCGCTCGCTCGGAAAATTCGCTCGCTCGCGTCTGCATAGTCGCACCCTAAGAGCTGAGAACAGTCACACAGATGTCTTTTTGTTTCTATAGAAAACTTTTATGATAATGTACTGTGACTCTCTTAATCTCTACGAGACCCCGTTTTAAACTCTTTTGATCTCTATGAGGCCCTGGTACGAGCTAATAACATTATAAAAGAACATTAAAAAAAAAATAGGAGATGCAAACAGACACACAGACGTCCCATTTTTCTATAGAAAACTTTTGGGATGATGTACTGACTCAACTTTTTAAATAATATAAGTGTTTTCTAGCTTCCTTATATGCCTTCCAAACCCCTGGGGAATTTTTATAAAAATACAGGAAATTCAATCCAATAATTTTTTGTCAATCGTCTCAAGTGTTTCCGTAGGATATCCCTTGGGAAAATTTTGTACTTTTATTTCAACATAAAATGTTGAAATTTAAGCTACCCACCAGCTGCTCTCTTCCATATTAACATAAACCACATAGAAGGAATGTTATATATTAACTTTATTCTCTACGTCTTCAAGTTCAACGAATTTATAAGTAGAGAAAAATAAATTCAAATATTTAACCAAATAAAAAGACAAAAATTAAAAAAAGGGAATAGACTGTCATAAATACTTCGATTTAACGTTCCCGCATTTAAGATATTATTATTATTTTTTAAATTTTATTCTGTGAGGAAAAAGGCTTGTCCTCTTCTTATTGATGTGTTATATCAGGGGCAGGTGGGGTCTAAATTATAATATATAAAAGGCCCTTATCCCTCCACCAAATAATAAATTTGACACCATCCTCATAGCGTTATCCTTAAGCTAAACAAGCTACGAGGATGCAGTTTAAGGCCTCATAATTTTAAAATTATTATTATCGTTATTTCCTTTTGCTGTTTCTAAAGACAATTTCCGCCATTTTACTAATGCATTGTATAAAGGGTTGAATTTGGAACTTACAGCCTAAAATATAAAAGTCCTCCCCATTTATTAAGGCCCAATCGTGGGGCCTTGAATTGTTTTATTCTTATAGCTTAATGCCCTAAGATTTAGATACGATCCTCGCCTCCTTATCGCTTCCAACCCCTTTCAAATATAACTCAATTTTATTATTATCCACCATTAACTTAAACTGTTAAATGCATGCCAAATTATAACGTAAACATTTAACGATCTACTTATTATTTTAATAGTAATTATACTATAAATTTACGTATCATATTGTTAATATTGCGTGTTGTCACGCTCCTAACACACGCGAATAACGTAAAGATATAGAAACATAAAATTTCTAGAAAAATTTAATGTGAGATCTTATAAAATAAATATTTGTTTATATAATTAATTTTAAAAGCTTTTATTTGTTTACAAGAATTATTATTTCGTTGTAACAACAATAATAAATTCGTTAAACAGTAAATGTTTTTTAAAACAATTCAAAAATAAACATTAGAAAAATAGAATTTATTTAATTTAAATCCTGTTAGTTACTTGTATATTTATCATAATAAAATTTGTTGATTACGAAGTTGACTTTTGATTATAATTAAATTAATAATTAAGGAAATTTACATATTTACTTAATTCTAATCCGTTTCATAAAATAAAAAATATATATTATTTTTATTTCCATTGTTAAGTTAAATAGAGCAATCTTAAAGGAGAAAGTGATTAATTTTAAGTTTTAATTTCAATTAACGGAAAAACACATGATCTTAATTATAATTAAAGTAACAATTAAGTAATATCGATCATTTTTTACTTATTATATTAATTTTTACGTATTTATACTTAATAGAAATTAAGTATAAAGTTTAGTTTATAGTTAAAACTTCTAAATTAAATTTTAAAATGTCGCACAGGTGTTCGTGCGCGAAATATTCGATTGTGATCAGATTAAAATTGGAAAAAACCTTTGATATTAGTAGAAGATCTGCTTCTTTTGGCCATCTTCCAACTCTTTCCCTAAATGGTTAAGTAGTTTGGGTGCTCTCTAGAGCACATAGATTTTTCGACATTGTTTTAGTGATTTTTCTTGCACTCGTAAACCTAGATTTTTCTGTGTTGATCGCATTGGATGTGTTGAAAATAAAAAGAAAAAACATTTTGAGATTTTATAGACCTTATCGGCGATTTAAACTTAAGTAAAGAATAAAAGTTGTTTTGTCGCTATCGAGTTTATTCCTTTGGAATGGAATGATTTGTAAAGCTAAGTAAAAGAAAAATTATGTTATTAGAAAAGTATTAAAAAATCATAAATAAAATTTTATTATAGTATCTTATCATCGAAAATTTATCCTTTTATACTTTATGAGTCAATTTATGATAAGATATTTTGTTTAGAGGGTGAAATATTGTATAAAATGACTTAAAACGTGACTTTATAGATTGATTCTTTGTACCTATCTACATTATCTATAGTTTTTACTGTAATTCTGCTTTTTTATAGCTTAATATTGCAGATACATCGCTGTTTAACTGTAAAATTATACTGTAATGTTTTATAATATACTTAAATTAATAAAAATCACTTCAAAATATTGATATTTTCACGAACCTTATCTGAGGCTAACAAGATTTTATGTAAATATTAGTACTTATAGGTGGTATTAAAGGGTAAAAAAGTACTTTTATTATTGATTTACTGATGATCAAGGCATTTATAAGTAAGAATATGGAGTTATTTTTGATAAAAACAAGGATAAATTCAATATACTTAGAGCTGATAGGAAGATTTCGACTCTATAGTACAGCGTAGTGTAGTATAAAAATAATAAAATTATTTTGACATCGATTTTCAATCATATTTTTATTAACTTCATTTTAAATATATGCTCTGGTCTCAAATTAGTGTCTTGCCCCTGTAAATCATACTTTTCCTGATAACAACTTAGTCATGCCGGTCATCTATCTAACTCCTATAAAAGAAAATTTTTTGAATTGATATCACGTGACTTCCGTTCTAAACCAGAAGTTGGTAAATAGTTAATTGGGGCCTACTGCCCCTAGGGTTTCTATATCTGATCTCGAGATTCATCTATCTAACGCCGTTCTCGAGATTAAAGGACAGTCTGACAGTTATAAAACCACAATTTTTTTCAAATTGCAGCTCGATGATAAGTATTTTCCATAGAGAATAGTTAGACACTCTATTCAATTCGTTAAGGTCATAGGTACAATTTCTTTTTTCTTTAGAAAACGCAAACATGCCCTCGAGATACGAGTGTCTTTTCAAGTACTTCCAATACCAAGTGAATTTATAAGAAAGAGGGAAAAAATCTCCAGGCTAAAAATTCGACCAGTGGCCATGATTCATTTTATGTTTTGAAAAATTGGCAAAGATGCGGTGACCGGAGTTCGTGGATTTCAGTCAAATGGATTATGAAAAACCAATGAAAGCAAAGAAGGGAGGGGGTGTGTGTAAAGAAAAAAAGCTCTTGATGGATCTTTCTAGGTTCAAAACATGGTCCGAAAAACGCAGACACATCATTTCACGAATGAAAGGAAGAAAAAAAAGAAGTTTTCTGTAGAAGAAATCAAAAATTGTTGTTATGACAGTCGCAGTCAAAAAATATTTTCTTTCTTTTTTTTCCTGTTTATATATCGATGAAGAAAAGAAAAGTATAGCGGCATATAAGTATAGATGCATGTAAGCAAGATTGTCTGGTTTATCAAAAGTTTTTTTAATTTATAATTTTAAAGGAGAAGAGAAGGGGAAGGATAAATTCATCAGCATCATTCTATATTTTTCTGCT